TCAGCATTATTTATGGCGCTAAAAAGTAACGTCACTGTTTAAAAGACTTTTGTGAGCGTACCTGCAACTCAAGTCATGTCTAATTTGGAGTATACAGCAGATTTCATCATAGGTATACCCGCCCTCACGATAATGTTCAATCAGTTCGTCTATTATGAAAACTACGAATACATATTCTAGTTCTACTGCTAAAATGAGAGTCAGGCACGATGGATCGATCGAACAAGTACGTGGACATGTGAAACGATCAAGGGTCAAAGTTAAAAATACCACTGCGCAATCGAGACAAACGAAAACATAAAACAAAAACGTACGACGGGCGACGCAAGACGCACGACGGCACATATGGAATTCCATAGCAGAGAAATAGCCCCCTCTTTAGTTTTTACCCTTTGTCATGTATGGAAACCGTCTGCGGCAGTTTTGCACTATGCAACGTCTGTATAAATCACTCCTCGTTCTTTGCATATTTTTGGCAAACCCAGATCGGATTCAATGAAAATATGTTACTCCACACTATTATTTCAGCCTCTTGAAGTCTGAGTCCGAAGCTGCTCTAACGAAGCTAGTTTCCTTGTATAGTTTTTGATTTTGGAAATCTCCTATTAAAAAGACAAAATCTGAATTTGGATTTCTGATTTACTTGACGATTGCTCTATTGCCTTGCACAGGTGGAGATAGCCCTGAGGAACATCCGGGCTTTTGCGCAGTATCCAAAACGCATGCAGCACATGCTGTGTCGAGTCGGATGGCTGGAGGAGTGAGTGGAAAGATTAAGAAACAAAATGATATATATACCAAGATATACATAGACGAACCGCTGGTTCGAAAAGATGAAGACACGGGAACGCACCGATAGCATGAACGGTAAACCTATGCACATAGACTTGACGGATTAACAAACAGACAGACTGATAGGATCTGACACTCATACCAACATTAGATATGTTGAAAGAAAATGCTATTTTTCCAAGATGTAAACGTGCAAAAACAGGCCACCAACGAAGTCACTAACCAATATCTCTGTTTCCCTTTTCATGTATTCCGCTTTAAGCGTACATTTTTTTTCCTAAGGGATGTTAGACAACTAAGCAAAAAACAAAATAAAATGGACGAAATATTTACTTTTTGGCACATGGGTCATTGTTATATAATGTCGTATGGATCGCCACGCTGCGCTTCGAAACATCGCTGCGTGTGTCATTTCAAGAAATGGATGCAACAAAATGATTGTCCTGGTGCACAGGAAATTCATTACATCAAACCTTTTCCCATTACAGATATGAATCTAAAAGGGCAATCCTCCGACAAGGTCACTTGCCCCACGCCTTCTACTTCATACTGTCTGGAGAGGGTAAGATCAACCATGGAACACTATTAAAGAAACGAAAATTTGTTTTCACGATAAAAATACATTTTGCGATAATATCACATTCTACGTGTCGCTACGTGTCGATAGGCTTGAGGCAAATAATGAGTTGGAGATATTTTATAACAAACAGTCGAACAGACGACATTATGTTACGGCAGTGAACTAAATGAATCCACTTTGTGCCCATAATATCATGGACACATGCGATGTAGATCTGCCAACGAGTCCACACAAGTTTGCGTGCACGCCTTTTGAAATTAATCTGCAGCATAGACTAAGCATTCCAAAACTGGCACACGCAAGATAGCGTGCGTGCCAGCTCAAAAATAGACACACTTCGTCAGCTTTGGAAAAGTGACTGGTCCATCTTTTGAGCACAACTGACCAGACTTTTGGTTCATTTTAATTTGTGAAACAGTCGTTGTGACGGTGTTGGACACGAAGAAGGGCAAACGAGTGGCAGAGACAGTGGCGATGTTGAAACGTGGAGACAGTTTTGGGGTAAGAATAAAGAACCAACACGTTTCTGACATGGAACACAAGACTGTTCAAACACGAAAACCAACCTTATCCATTCCAGTCAGGCTTGCCAAACGTCAGATTTTTTTTTAACGTCCCTCAACATTCCAATCAAGAATGGCAGAGGTCAGTGTTGGGTCTTCCCCAAGTTGTTTTCTCATAAACTTTAGCAAGAGGAACAGATTCAAGGTCTCGCCCACTACGCTGCTCTTGACAAATATGCACAGATGCCCACGGAGAAGGCTGAAGCGAAAAACTATAGTGCTATTTTCTGGCCCGTTTTCTCATAACAGGAATTGGCAATTCTGAACAGAACTCGGCGAGCTTCTACCGTCATATCTCAGGACAGAGTGGAACTCCTCTGCATATCAGTTGAGGTATACAAGACAAAATGATAGAAACAATATTGATTAATTAGAAATGCTAGGTGCTATCCGAATAATTTATTCATTGTTAACTTTGGGACTTACTTGCAAAATTTATTCCCTGACTTATTACAAGAATAAGTTGAAAGACCTCAACTTTATTCAATCGGAGATTTCCTGCTTTTTATTGGTACTTCGAAGGATTTTGAGGACATCTTCATGCTGTCTGGAGGCATCAAAAGGGTCAATGATCCTGACCAACATGCTTTTTTGACGTCACTCGCTTGTCTCAAGCACTGGCCGCTTCATCTGATCGAGAAACACCCCAACGAGTGCCGCTTCCATTTTTTCAAGTAGGAATTTTGTTTGCCTGGGGGGTAAAAAGTTAACAACTTAGGGCTGTACCCTGACCTCAAAGCTTCTGGCCATCGGGACAAAAATCACGTCATCAACCCGAGCAGAATTCTCCCCCGTTCAAAATTTCCCCGAGCCTGTCACTGATTGACGGACTTTGTCGGTGATGCTCGCCATTATGCCTTGCA